TTGTGTAGACAGTAGAAGGTTCAGTGGAGACTTTATTATGATTGTGTAGACAGTAGAAGGTTCAGTGGAGACTTTATTATGATTGTGTAGAGAGTAGAAGATTCAGTGGAGTCTTTATTGTGATTGTGTAGACAGTAGAAGGTTCAATGGAGACTTTATTATGAATGTGTAGACAGTAGAAGGTTCAATGGAGACTTTATTATGAATGTGTAGACAGTAGAAGATTCAGTGGAGTCTTTATTATGATTGCTTGGGAGTTCAGTATATCCAGACGAAAAATCCTATATATATATGTAATATATATTATATCACTAAAAAATTCACAGCGACTTGTTTTCATTATAAACAGTACATTTGTAATTTTAGAATATAATTTAAACCTAAAACTACCACCAGGAGAATGAGTTGATTTGCGACTAATACATCTCAAATTCATCTTACCCTGATCATCTGCACATGGTGGAAACTTAGTACGGTGGGAAAAACATTATGAACTCTATATATTCCCCTTTGAAGCAAAACTGACGTAAAGAGGAACACGTAAAAGAGCTCACGCAATTTCGTGTTCAGTGATTTTTATTGAGAAAGCAATTTACTCGTACCCTTTTAGTTATTGATAACCACAAATGTCTTGGCTGTTGTGTATAATAATATAACAAAATGACATAATTTGAGTATCTACACTAGATATATGCGTAAAGGAGATCACGAGCTTAAAAAACTAATTTTATTACAAGCTCCAAGTTGACATACCCAAAATATCTCTTGATACCCTGTGTTTAGGGTATGATCAAATCAAATTATATACTTCCCGGATTGATTTTAGACTCAAGCCTTTTATTTACTCAAAATTCTGTAATTATTGTTTTGAAAATAACAACCGTAAAGGAGAACACATGATTACAGCCACATGTTATTTTGGATATTTTTATATGTGAAAAAGTAATGAGACAATCAGGTAGCAACAAAATGTTAAAACATAAATGTTTGCTAATTAATCACAATAAAGGCTTGAGTCATACTTATAATTTTCGTGTTTCTGTTGTTGCTCTGAAATAATATTTTCTGTTGGCGGCATGCTACTTTTAACACCCCACCATTGTCTATTTCCTTGGTTTGCTGGAAAAACTTTGAACAAACTCAACATATAATATATGTTTGGAAAGCTCTGTTCATTGTCTATCATTTAGAAAATATTATATTTTTGTGTAAAGTATCTACTCAGAGAAAGTTGCCCCAGAACACTGGCGACATCAAATTGGACACTTAAGAAAGCCTGGCCCTTAATCTACAGGGAAGACCACCCATCAGCAGGAGTACGGTACTATCTTTGTTCAATAAAGCTTTCGTAACCCGGCTGGTCACATTTTTCCTTTTAAACACAATAATACCATCATTTCCCTTTCATAAGCCGTAGTGTTATGTTGAATTGTGTTATAAGATAATGTTTACGCTGTAACTTGTGGATATTTTCATTAAACGTTTATATTATGTGGGGAATCTGTGTCAGTCTCGTTATCTGTGGCCAAACCGTCACACCCGTCGGGAAACATCATTATATAAGATCCGTGAACCTCCTTTTATGCGGGATCGGACTTTTCTGCTTTGCCTGAAATCCTCGAGATACCACATATCTATTATTATGAATAGTTATTCTTTGTAACTGTTTATCAAGACTATTATTGGAAGTGTTTGGAGCATAGTTATAAACTCTTGAAATATCTGAATGTTGACAAAAAAGTGAGTCAGGTTTTCCTTCTCTAGGAAGAAGACATCATGTATGAAATTTACAACAACGGGCCTGTTCAAGGTAAAAAATGTCATGAAAGTACTATAATTTTCTTTGTATTTATTAATATAGAATTATTGGTGGTGTTTGTACTATTCATTCCAATTAGAAATTTTAAACTTAAGTTAGTTCTGTGGATTTCTATAAAGCACATTCAGTTCTTCAAGTGTTTTAGTTCACGAATCCTTGGGAGGTTGCCAGTTCTGTTGGTTATTTGATTTCCTACAATACATGATGGCTGATTATTTCTTTTAAAACATAGTTACGTGATAGACACCATAACACTTGGTCTTGTTCTTTCCTATAACTTATAGTGAGCATTCAAACATTTGGAAGTGTTCTTTTCTTTGATAGACACTGTGCAACAAAACACTTAGGGCTTTTAACTTACAAGTAATATACTACTATATAAAATCACCTTGATTGTGTATAATTTTTATTATCATCATCATAGATACTGAATACTTTTATTAGCGTCTTTTGTAAAACTTATACATTTCTCGCATATTGTAGATGTTTTATTATATTTGGTTAACTATAGGAAATATATACGAAGCATACTTTATAAGTGTTCATAGCTCTATTAATTTTGTAATTTCAGCATCATTTCGTGTGATGCAAGACTTCTTCAGTTATGCTGGTGGCATCTATCGCAAACTTCCTCAAGCAAATACTAAAACTTCTCGTCAAGGCTGGCACTCTGTGAGAATTATAGGGTAATTAAACGACTTTTTTTTTACTGCTTTAGCTATACATAACACCAATAGTTTATTTAATACCTTATTACAAAACTTAAGTGTTTTGAAATAGATGTGTTATTTATTATGTTTTATTACTTCACAGATCAATAATTATTTACATCTGTGAAAGGTCACATTATAACGGACATTGACGAAACGCAAAATACAGTATTCCGTAAAAATAACAACACGTTTACTTAGCACATTAATTCTAAATGTGTTTTAAGCTGATTATATTTTTATAATTGCCGTTTTATTCAACTATGCATTGTATTAAAATGTTTGATGGCATATCCTTGCTAATTTCTACTCTTACAGAAACAGGTTATGCAAATAAAATTAGTATGCAGTATTTTATGGTATTTGACAGGATATAATGCTTTTAGTGTCATCTTATCATCAGTGGAACTTTCAAGTAATTTAAGAAGTATACAAAAACAGTCATTGGAAAACTAAGGATTATTGTTGAATTCACTGCCGTTTACTCGGTCATCGCAAGGCTGTATTATATCGTTTCTGATCGTTAAACACGTCTATTAACTTATTATTTATCTTACTGTGTAGGATTTCGAAACAAAAATAATATTGTTACGACAGCGGAGGTCACGTGATGTTGCTGGCGCGTTGGCGCTGGTGACGTCCGCGATGAGTTTCTCGAATGGTCGGGGAAGTCCGAGTGTGTTGGAGATACCCTCTTCGCTAGTATATAAGCCTGGCAGAGGAAAGAAGCGGGGGGGGGGGGTATATATAAAGGAAGAGAGAGCAGTGGTTATTTTGGAGTTCCGTGTGATTTATGATTCCGTTAGTTTCGAGCTAGTGAACTGTAAAGTGCATGTTTTGCACTTGTCGAGAGCGAAGTTATCGAGATTGTGAATCGCTGTGATTTATAGCGTGTATTATAAAAGTTGTTAAGTTTAAGGTGACGAGAAATGTACTGATTGTGGAACTACTGTGTACTAAAAGTTTGTATCGAGGAAGAATAAACTGGTTTAATCAAGAAAGACTTGCATCACTGAAGATCCTCGGAAAGAATTTCTACCAGAAACAAACAAACAAGCAGATACGTAAAAATATGTTATTATATACCAACAGGTATGGTAAAACGTACTTTTAACAGGTCCTGTACACTTTTTGCACGAGAAAATTATAATTATTTTCAAACACTATTTATTGTAGAATGTTGTCAACGAGGCCTTTTGCTCACTACAAAATCTCAACGTGCTGGATAGCTTTTTAACACTCCAAGTCTTTGCATAAAATGTTCGTTTCCAGTGGTGTATAATAGTAAAACTAGTGAAAAAATATTTTTATCTTTATACTAAACCCGTCTCTATAGTAACTTACAAATGGCTGGACCTAGCATGGCCTGGTGGTTAGAACATTCGACTCACAATCTGTGGGCCGCAGGATCCGAACCCTTCATCATACATGCTCATTCTTTCTCTTGTGAGGATGTTATAAAATGACGGCCAGTCTCATTATTTGTTGGTAAAAATAGCCCAAGAATTGGCGGTGGGTGATATTGACTAGCTGTCTTTCCTTAAGTTTATCAATTCAAAATTAGTGACGGTTAGTGCAGTTACTCCTTGAGTAGCTTTGCATGAAATTCAAGAAACAAATTATTGAAATGATCTTTTTTGCGCGATAAACATAGACTGCATTACATCAATACGATACGCCTGGTATTAAGTCTTTATTTACTTATGCGAGTTGGAATGTCTTGGAATAGGTTTAACTCTGAAACCAGTGACAAATCCAAGACCAAACTGAGCCATACGTTTCTTGTTCGATAAAGTCAAAATTCGTTGGTAATACAAAAGACAATCTCCAATTACCCGTTAAAAATACTTCAGCAATATCATGATGATCCATCACAATTAATTCTACAAAATGAGTAATATTCCGCCAGCTTCAGACTTGGGTGATACTAAACCACCGTGACCCGTTAGGTCAACCACTATTCGGAGATTATGAAGAATTCAAGCTAATTTCAATATTGCACCGAAATGAAGATTTATTTTGAAATAATTTAATCAAATATTTCAATCCATTCGTGTTATTCATAATTCAAGAAAAGATATTTGATTGTTGATCGGGAGTAAAAGGAAAGGCCATTTCATTTTTCAAAAAAGTGAAGTAATAAGTTTCGTAAACAGCGCGAATGGTAGTGTGAGTGGTTTTTTGACTGAGAAAATAAGTAAACAAACAAACAAACAATCTCAGAGTTTTAGTAGTATATAGATAGATTGTTCTGTTTTTGTCATCTTACGCCTTTTAATGAAGATGGGAACATTGACAGGGAAATAATATAATATAAATGCTCGGCAAGAGGTTTGCGTTTATAAAATTTTGTTGGTGTTCTCGACTTGATTTTTATTTTATTACCTCGTCTCCATAGTTATTATTTGCAAATAGTCAATAATATTGTAGGTCCATTTTATTGTTGTTCTTTCTACTCGCCGTTATAACACATTTTCATCTCATCATTTAATTTCTGGTGT